GTGGTCGCGGAGCACGGTTTGAGGTCCCGGAGCACGGTTCGGGTTTAGGGTCCCGGAGCACGGTTTGGGGTCCCGGAGCACGGTTCGGGTTTGGGGTCCCGGAGCACGGTTCGGGTTTGGGGTCCCGGAGCACGGTTTGGGGTCCCGGAGCACGGTTCGGGTTTGGGGTCCCGGAGCACGGTTTCTCAGCAGGGGCATTTGGGGTCCCCATTCACGGTACCCCCGGTCCCACGTGCTCGCGCTCCGCCTGGCCCCGCCCCTCCGCGCCGGTCCCGCCCCCGCCGCGCGCGAGCCGGGGAGGGGGCGTGGCCTCGGCACGGGCTCGCGCCGCGGAGGGGCGGGGCGAACCGGACCGGCAGGCGAGTGACGTCACCGCCCCGGCTACTGCGGCGGCGGCCGGGGTGGATCTGCCGGTTCTCCGCGGGCGGCCCCGGAGCGGCGGCGCGGGCGGGCGCCGGGGTTGTTTCTCGGCGCCGCCGCCGCCGCCTCCCCCAACCCCCGGTCCCGGGCAGGACCCGCGGCCCCGGCGCTCGGAGCCGCCGCTCCCCGGGCGGGGCGGGACCGGCGGGGCCGCCCCCGGTGTCGGCGGGCGGGGCCGGCGCTCCTCGCACAAAGCCGTGAGTGTCGCGGGGACCGCACCGGCACCGGCACCGCCCCGATGTGAGCGGGGCATGGCCGCGGGGCATGGCCCGGGGCGGGCGGCGGCGGGCGCGCAGCGCCGGCGGTGAAGATGGAGCCGCGTCCGCCTGGGACCGAGCCCCCGCTGCCCCGGGGGCCGGGACCGGGGCTCGAACCGCAGCTGGAACCGGAGCCCGAGCTGGACCTAGAACCCGAGCTGGACCTGGAACCAGAGCCCGAGCTGGAACCGGAGCCGGACCTGGAACCGGAGCCCGAGCTGGACCTAGAACCCGAGCTGGACCTGGAACCGAAGCCCGAGCTGGACCTGGAACCGGAGCCTGACCTGGAACCGGAGCCAGCGCCAGAGCTGGAACCGGAGCCGGACCTGGACGCGGAGCCAGAGCTGGATCTGGAGCTCTGGGCACTTGAGCCCGCCGCTCCCGGCGCGGGGCCGCCGCCCTGGTGCCCGGGGGAGGCCGGGGGCAGCCCGGGCCCCGCCGAGCCCCCGCCTGAGGAGGAGCCGCGTCTCCGCCCGGTCTTCGACGCCCTGGACCGCGACGGCGATGGCTTCGTGCGCGTGGAGGAGTTTGTGCAGTTCGCCACGGCCTACGGCGCCGAGCAGGTGAGCGCCGGCCGGCACCGGGCTCCGGGCTCCGCACCTGGGCCCGGGCCGCTGCTGGCTCCGCGCCGGGGCACCGCGGGGTGCGGTGGCTCCGCCGCCCCAGGGTGATGGTGATGGTGGCTCCTGTCCGGGCTCCGGCCCTTGGACAGCATCAGTGTCCCCAAGGACAGCGCTGACCTCGCCGTGGCCCCGGGTGAAGGGCACGCGTGGCCCGAGCGGCTCCCGCTGCGCCCGGCAGGAACCGGAGCTGCCGTGTTCCAGGGAAACAGCACCGCGGCGGTGCCGCTGCGAGCCGGCAGCTCTTTGTTCTCCATCACTGCCGCCTCGGGGCTTGGCCGGGCAGCGGGGACATCCCGGCCTGTGGGGACATCCCTGCCTGTGGGGCTGCTCCGTGCCCCCCTTGCTGACCCCACTGGCCGTGGGTCAGCTCCCCTACGGGCAGCATCCCTGCCCATGGCAGGGGGTTCCATCCGTAAGGGCCTTTCCAACCCAAACCATTCCCTGGTTCCCTGCTGCTTCGCTTGTCCCGCGTTTGACAGCCTGAATGTGTATTTTTTCCCCTCTTTCTGCTGCTTTGTGCCCTGGCGAGCCGGTGTTCCCCTTCAGCAGATCAGAGGCGATGTAATTTGAAGCTGCCTGGGCTGGCCCAAAATGGAGCAAGCTCCAGCAGCGCTCACCAGGGGATGGAGACGGATTCGTTGGTGTTTCACGCATTGGCCTGGGCTGGCATCGCTACCAGGAAAAGAAGATTTAGTTTTTCAAGGCATGCAGGTATTGCTGCAAAGTTTCCTTGTGCCTGCCCAGATCTGCTCTCGTTCTCCATCCCTGGCTGCTGCGAGGGTATTTAAGTGCCATGACAAAGCAAATCGTGTGTGAAGGAGGCTTTTGGTGGAGGAGGGCTTTTTATCCCAGTCCTCATGCTAGAAACACCTCTCAAAGATCAAACAAAGGTATTTAATTTAGAAAAATATCCCTGCAAAGTGGAGACAGGGAACTTCTTTGTGTTGCTGGAGGGGTCACTGTGTGCGCAGAGGGTCTCAAGGTGTGAGCACAGGTACCTCGGCTGCTGCTGCCTGTGCCAGCAGAGAGGCTTTGTTCATAAATCCTCTGTTCTGCACTGTCCTGCCGTGGGCCAGGCCCCCGGGCCACCGCCGTGTCCCACTGGTGTCCCCAGCAGAGCAAGCCGGAGCAGAGGGCCCAGGGAGGCTCCCGGCTCCTGCACACGGTGCCACCTCCCCGCGGGACTGTTTGCCCTCGTCCCTTGGTGTGGAGCAGCCCAAGGACGTGGGAGATGGGGACAGGAGGTGGCAGGGGACGTGGCAGGTGGCTCTGGGCTGTGCAGCTCAGCCCTGCAGCGCACGGTGCCGGCGTGGGGATGGTGCCAGAGCTCCAAAGGGGCCGCAGTGAGCCTGGAAAACACTGAGAGCATGAGAGCACGGCCTGGGGAGCAGCGATGGGCTGTTAGGTCACTCCAAAGCTCGGGGGGTGTCCCCAGAGCTTTTGTGCCATTGGGCAGGGTCTGTCCGTATGGATCCATCTGGGAAGGGGCTCTGCAGGCTCCCTGTTCCGTCCTGCTGAGCACAGCTAATGCTGCCTGTGCTGCCGTAAATGATGCTTTGAAAACTCATTTCTCTTCAGCAAGAGGCTGGTGCAGGCAGCTCCTGGACAGCTGGGCACTGGCACAGCGAGTGCTGAGCACCTTGGGGAGGTTGGTGGGGCAAGGCCTGAGGCAGCAGCCCCTGGGCACTCCAGGGGACTGGCAGAGGAGGAAAGGTGATGCCTGCGTGTGCAAGAGGACTTGGTGGCAGTCTGCAGCTTAGAAAAGACCAGGGCACGCTGAGGGAGGAGGAGCAGGGGTTGGTGATCACGTCTGTAAGCTCCCAGCAGGTCATGGAATCCCAGAATATCCTGGGTGGGAAGGGTCACACAAGAATCACTGAGTCCAACCCCTGGCCCGGCACGGACACCCCAACACCCCCACCCTGTGCCTGAGCAGTGTCCAAACACTCCTGGAGCTCTGGCAGCCTCAGGACTGTGCCCATTCCTGGGCAGTGCCAGCACCTCTGGGGGCAGAACCTTTCCCTGGTGTCCAGCCTAACCCCCTGTGATGTGTGGAGTAATCAGGAGAGGAGTTCTGGGGAAGTTCCTTGACCTATTTTGCGTGAAGCAGCCGGAACTTGGGCCCAAAGTGGGTCTTGTGGAGAAAGGAGACCCAGCTCAGGTGGAAGTTAAAGGGGAGGAACATCTCCAGAGGGTAAAACAGTGTTCAGGTGCCTAAACGGGACCCTCAAGGTGTAAATAAAGGTTGTGCCACAAGCAGAACCGGGATGCTGTGAGAGAGGGGTGGGGGTTTGATGGCTGGATAATCACAAAGGGCAGTTAATGAATAGCAAATTGCCCTATTGCTGGAGGTACCTGCTTCCTTTTTTCCTCCTCTCCTTCCTCCCGCCTGCTGCCCATAGGGGTGGGGGTAAATGGCTAAATTGAAGCACAAGCAGCGGATTCCCGAGGCTGGAGAGGGATGAAGGGTTAAGGAGAGCCTGTGTGTGTGTGTGTATCCACATGGATGAGGAGCTGGAGAGCAGCAAGTGTTGTCTTTAGCGCTCAGTCAAACACCAGAGGCATTCATGGGCTGCTGAGTGAGCGCTGTCAGCTCGTTTGGCTGCAACAATTATTAGCTAAATGTCAAAGGGACGGCACCAGCTGGCGTTTATTCCATAAACACGATGGGATTGGGGATTTCTGGTCGGATGAATTGGGTATTTTTCTCTCCGTGGGGATAAAAAAATGGGATTGGGACAGGGTTTTGCTTAAGCAGCTTGGGCTGTTGGAAGGCTGACTGGGAGAGCTCTGTGCTTGTGGCACTGGCCTGGGGAAGAGATCGAGGCAAAGATAAAAGCAGTTTGTTTTATCTGCAGTGATAACAGTTGATAAGGATTGAGGCTCTTGCCTTCATCTCCAAAGGGGTGATGAGAGGATTGAGCAGGGAAGGGACAGCCTTGGGAGGGTCCTCCCACAGCCTCTCCCAGGAGGGAGTTTGTCCAGCATGGGTTGTTTTGTCCCTTGAAAGGCTCACATGGACCCCTGATACCCTCCATGGGTTTACAAACAACATGTGGGACAGAAGGGTGTTGAGGACAACTTGATTTTCCTTGAGAACAACTTAATTTTTCATCCCAAACCTCTGAACTACTCCCAAACCACCTGGGAGGCAGCTGCCAGTGGTGTTGTGTTTTTATTGTCTCCTTCCTCCCCCTTTTCCCTGAATTTCTCTGGGATCTGATGCTCCCTGGAGCCACTGGCTGGGACAGAAGCATGGAGTAAGATTGGCTTAAATAACGAGCAGGGAGGTGGGGCACACTTGTGTTGCTTTTATGTCACCTTGTAAAGCAGGAGGGGTTGTGTCTTGCACTTCTGGGGGTTGCACGGAACCCAAGGCCATCCACTTTTGGTTTAAATTTCTGTTTCAAAATTTAATTTTACACATCTTTCCCACTGTACCCTTTCATTGTGTCTGTCTGGCTGAGGTGACAGAGCCCAAGTTCTCCCTGGATTTATTTCCAGCAGGCTCCAGGAGAATGGATTGTTTGTAAGGCTGAGGACAAGTGTCCTGCTGGCACCTTGGGTTGTTTTTCCTTTTTTGTTTTGATCTAACAGACAATTGGAGAAGGAAAAGCCTCTTGCACCACATGATCTCACTGCCTTGGCTCAATGAAGAGAAATCCCTGAGTTTGTCTAACTCACTTTCCAAAGGCTCCTGTTCCAAGGGATCTTTAGCCTTTTTTTTCCATTTTGATGATCAGTTTGAGCTTCATTTCAGTGTGATTTGTTTTGCTTTCTTTAACAGTTCCATCCCTTAATACCTGTCCTGCCACCACATCAGCTCATCCTCAGCTGAGCTCTCCATATTCAGCTTTTAACTTTCCCTCTGGGGGTGGTTTCTGAAGGGTTTTATCAGGTTTGTTGTACTTTTCCCAGCACTTTCTCAGCCTCTTGGAATGGGGTGCCCAGCCTGAGCTGAGAGCTGCAGAACAAATCCCATTTTGGGGCTGGCAGGGGTCACTCCAGACAGCAGCTGCAAAGAATCCTGGAGTTGGTTTTTATTTTGGAGTAAAACAATCTGAAAATCTGGCAGTTAGTTTCTGTAATGAAGTCTGGATAGTGTCAAAGTGCAGCTTTTTAGTGGTTACCCCCCCGTGGTGATGCCAGACTGGCTTTTCCTGCTCCCCTCTGATGATCCCTTGGGAAGTGTGTACCTGAATCCAGGGCTTCTTCCTTCCATCTCCCTTGGAGATGCTCACCTTGCATCTGATCTTGGATGTTCTCCCTCTTCCCCTTGGTTTTCTCCCACTTGTGAAATCTAATGATCTCTGTCATGAGGAAACCTCAATTTTTAATTTATTTTTATTTTTTTTTCACTTTCTCACGGTTCTTACCCAGTTTGAGCAGAGGAAATGCTGGTTTTATAAAGAGATTTCTAAAATTACCTATCATGGTTTCACAGGCGAGTGAGGCTTAAACTGCCTCCAACTGTGTGGCTGCTGCTGTGCCTTCCAGAGGCTTTAATTGCTCTTTGACTTCACAGAATATCCTGCCTTGGAAAGATCATCAAGCCCAGCTCCTGGAATTTGGTTCCTGCTTTGGAGAGGAGCTGGCATGGCAGTGGGGGATGCTCTGGGTGTGCAGGAGGTGCCTATGGACACCCCTGTGTGCTTTGGAACAGCAGCACATCTGAAATATTTTGCTTGCTTTGACCAAGGGCCCAGTTTTTCCCCCAGAGAAAATCATGGCAGGGAGTTTGTGCATTTTGGGAGATTGGGTGGGAGCCCTTTCCTCTCCTCCTCCCTCCTCTCCTCCCTCTTCAAAGGGCTTTTACCACCATCAATAAATAACAGGTCTGTGTGCTCCAGGAGCTCCAAGACAGGAGTTTTTCATTCTCCCTCAGAGAGGAAAACGTTTCCAAGCCAACATATTTTGTGTGATTTTGGGCGAGGTGGTTG